AAAAGGTTTTGCATAGAGTAGGGAAGTGTTGACATCCCTATCAGATTATGTTTTGCTGTCTGTTTCCTGCTGGGGAGAATTCCCGACACACACACACACACACACACCCCCCCCAAACACACACACACCCCCCCCAAAAGTGACTGAAGGTCCCCTCCTAGACAGCTACCAAATATGTGTCCTGTTTGCAAGTCTTCCTAAAGTGACAGAAGAACCCCTCCTAGACAGTTGTCACCAGAACATTTGTCCCCATTGCAAGACTTCCCAAAGTGACAGAAGAACCCCTCCTAGACAGTTCTCACCAGACTATTTTTCCATTTTGGAAGACTTCCAAACATAACAGAAGTTCCAATTCTAGACAGTTGTCCCAATTGGAAGACTTCCCAAAGTGACAGAAGTTCTCCTCCTAGACAATGGTCACCAGAACTTTTGTCCCCTTTGGAAGACTTCCAAACATGACAAAAGTTCCCCTTCTAGACAGTTGTCACCAGAATATTTGTCCCCATTGCAAGACTTCCCAAAGTGACAGAAGAACCCCTCCTAGACAGTTGTCACCAGAACAGTTGTCCTCATTGGAAGTTTTCCTTAAATCTCTTGTTCTCATGACAACTCTAATACGTTATAGAATTAATCACCAGCACCAATAAGGAAGTGAATTTCCCGAGGTGATACAAATAGCAATAAAAGCTTGACAGAAGATAAAACCTTTTCCTACTCAATCCAAAACCAGGAAACAAGTCTTCCCTTTACATATACTTTAACAAGAGCCCTCCTTTATTGCAGATTCTTCCCTGCTACTATTCTGAAGAGATCAGTGTAGATGCACCATGTCCATTCATGAATCGACTCCTTAGTTGGAGAGTCTACAGTCATCATAACTGCCCACCAATGTAATAAGAAAATAAGGGTACCATAAATCAAATAATTAAAATGAAGCGAGTACAAAGTCTGTAATGCTGGGGGGGTTGTATCAGGATTCTGGTAGAAATTCACAGTATCTGAAATCCAACAACCGCCTTGAGGACTACCACGGAACTAACCACCACAGGATGCATGTGAAACAAGGACGTAGCAATCAAAGTACCTTTATTGAACATACACGTAAAAAGCAATACAACACCCAGCCCCCTTCTCTATGTTTACAGATGAAGCTGTAAATGCATACCTTACCTACAATGACTATATGCCATCATCTATGTTCCGGAGCTATACTATGTGGAAGTACTTGGCAGTGCTTATATTCAATTCATCAGCTGTGATGGATGTTTGGAGCAGTGGCGCAACAATAGCCATAGCAGTCCCTGTGGATGCTGTGGGGCCTGGGAGTGGAAGGGGGCACGTTTAAGGGGTGAAAGGGGGTTGTTGTGGCAATTTAAACATTGTGTGATGGTTGGGGAGCTTAGCTCAATGGTGACCACTCCTGAAGCCGACTTGAACATAAAATGGACAGTATTTATTCATCTTCAACATAAATGAAACAGAACAATTTGTGCACGTCTTATAAGAATCCGCTTTTCCTCAGCATATACAGTCCTCAGTAGCTTTCCTCAGCTCCAAATGTCTCAGCACACCTCTGTGTGATACTCACACTGCTCTCTCAGCTGTGCATCCAACAGGTCCCTCGATCACCGACCTCTCCCAGCCTCCGCTGGCTGTTCCACGTGCATCCAGCACACACGTGAGTCTGCTTGTGGCCGTGTGACTCCTACAAACACACACAAAACCCTCCACTGAGCACTGGGCTGGCTTCTTAATGAGGCTACTCTCAGCCACCTGATCAGCCCAGGCTGGTCATTGGTAACACCTGGCCCCAGGACTGAAGATCTCATCCCACCCACAACTCCAAGAAATCTCCAGAGCTCCAGATCCCGGCTACAATTCTGAAAACCTGGAAGAATCTGAAAGGCCAGGTTCTTCCTTATAAAATGATTCACACTCTGGACCCTCTCAGCCCCTCTGGCTGAGAGTCCTGGATGCCATAGTTGCCAAACTACACCGTGGTATTGCCATGCACTGCCACAATAGAAATAGGTGTACATTTGAAGATAACACCGAGCCAGTACTGAATAATTTAGAGTTCTGGGGGTTGCTGTTGACACTGACCCTGTACCCCCTGTGACATTTCCAAACCAGGAAAGCCGACATCAAACATACAGAGGGAGAATTCAGAATGGTTGTTCCATAACACAGATACCCTTTTTGCAGGATATGCAGTAAGCAGAGTTTGTTTAGCTGTCTTAGCATTGTAGATATATTGTCTCAGAGCTTCTGGTCATCCCGGCCAGCACTGAAACTAACCCTGTATGTCTTATGCAGTCTCCCTGTGAGAATTCCGGAATGTCTTATCAGCTAAAAATTGACAACCGTTCTGAAAAACAACCCCCCACATATTAAAGACGTTTATATTAGTGTTATAAAGTAATTGTGGGCATGATTACTAGGGATGGGCTCGATGTTCAAGCCGATCGTGAGTTCAACTCGAACATCGCTAGTTCATGTGTTCACCGAACACACAAACTATCATGGCGTCACCTGCCGAGCGCCGCATAAGGCAATGCGCCTTCTGAAGCCCTGATTGGCTAAAGCCTTGCACCTGACCACAGGACAGGTACAAGACTTTGCCCAGTCAGGGCACAGAGAACTGTGAGAGCCATGATTAGGCAAAGTCATGATGACGCTGCCCAATCATGACTCACCTTTTACAACTGTAAACAGTTGTGCGGAGCTAGCTGTCACTGCTAGCTCTGCCCAATTGTTTATAAGTTGCCGGCATCTGTCAAAATGCCATTCTGCAGCAGTTGTTCGTCGCAGCATTGGGACGACGGTCGTTGTTTATAAAAATTATTATTTCTATTTATTTTTTATTGTTTTATATTTTATTTTGTCAAGTCATCGTCGTCGTGGACAACGCTGGATGTCGTGATTGACCCTGGGTTACGTCGATGGATCATTTTTAATTTATTTTTTGAAATAAAGGTTGTTTTTTTTTCAAATAAAGGATTTTTGTTTAAAGTACCCCTTACTTATTCACAAGGGGGGCCCTTTAGTAAAGGGGTACCCTCATGTGAATAAGCCCCCTGCCCGCACCCCCACAACCATTCCCCCAGGGCTTGTGGGGAAGAGGCCCTTGTCCCCATCGACACGGGGACAAGGTGGTTTTCAAGGGGCGACCCTGCAAAAGCACCCTCCCAGTGCCGAGGGCATGTGGCCTGGTATCGCAGGGAGGGGGCGCTCGCTCATCCCCCCCTTTCCTGCCAGGCCTGTGCTCAGATCAAGGGTCTGGTATGGAATTTTAGGGGGGACCCCACGTTTCCAACCCCCCCCCCCCTTTTTGGAGGTGGGGTTCCTCCTTAAAATTTCTACCAGACATTAAGGGCCTGGTGTGACTTTAAGGGAGAACCCCACACCCTTTTTTTTTTGTTTTTTTTTACACGGGGTCCCTTCTAACATTCCTACCAGACGTAAAGGGTCTGGTATTGTTTGGGAGAGGGAACCGCACGGTTCGACTGAACCGAAGCGCTCCGGCGGCCAAAGAGAGCCAAAGGATCATCCGAAACCACAGCTGGATCCTTCGGCTCCTATGTGAATAACCCCCTAATTATATTAGCATATTTTCTTTCTGGGTCAGATGTCTCAGCAGGTAAATACCACGTTATGGCCACCAGATGGCGATGAGGAGCAATGGAAAGAAGTATTCATTTCTCTTCAGCTCCATCTAGTGGCCACAATCCTGGAAAGAAAATGCGCTAACATCTTTCATGTTGCCTCCGTTCCCACAGAATGAATGTACATGCAATTTTAAATGGCAAGTTGCTCTGCGTTGCAATTTTTATGTTTACAGTATATAATTTCTTACAGTGAAAGTCAAGTTTTCCTTTAAAGTTGAATTTGCCATATTTTATTCTTGCAGATGATGGAGAAGCTGGAGAATTCATAGATATCCCCGACTTAAATATCGGTAAGAAATCATTGTGACGTTGCATGAATGAAGATAAAGCTGAACTCCAGGCAAACAGCCAAATACACAGATGGAAAAAATGTACACAAATACACAATCCTGTGAAAGGATCTGCATTTCTGTCCATCCAGTCATGAGATTTGCACAACTCTGCCGCACAGCAGAGCCCTGCCTGGCAGGAAAGGGGACCTGATCTTGCTCTGCTGCAGTTTTAATCTCGCTTACAGGTCTTCTCCACACTCTGCACTACAGCACAACTGACTGGCTCTTTGTACTGCTTCTCCTTCTCCCTGAGCTGATCCCTGCTTCTCCCTCAGTCTGAGCTCTGCTGTGCACAAGGCTGATACCAAGTCAAGTTTAAAGGAGAACTGTGAGGTGATTGACTATCACTCAGCCTCATAGTTCGAGCCGACCTGTGACAATGAGACTGTCACAGGTCGGCTCAATAGATCGGGAAGTGAGCGAACACATACCGGCGCTCGCTCACTTCTCGATCATCTCCCTGCAGGGAGCCGTGACTGTCACTCACGGCTCCATGCAGGGATTCCCCTCCCCGCTCCGATCCCCCAGTGCTGACTGGAGGAACGGATGGGGGAGGGGGCGGGCACAGCTGGCTCTGCCTCTAGATAGGCAGAGCCAGCTGTCACTCACGCAGTATTGTCGAGATCCGTCCCGGCTGCGGCGCTCTCAGTATACGGCGAGCTGTAGCTCGCGGTATACTGAGCTTTGGGTCACGGTATCTCAGTATATGTCCTCCCGTGACCCTTAGGAGAACTATGGGGAAAAACACTTACCCCGTAGCTCTCTTTTAAGTGCTTTCAATTTAAAAAATACATTTCATGATGTGTTCATGAATACAAAGCTGCATTCTTTTACACCTGCCTGGAGTTCAATCTTTAAAGAGATATTACTGAATTCTATAGTGTGGAAACTGATTGTATTTTATTCTCCACATGACACAATCTGATGTGAACATGACGCACACCTTTGTAGCGCGGTGCTAGTCTTAGTGACGCTCCTCTGTATTGTATTTTCATATCCAGGTCAGAAGCTCTTCCAGGGTGACATCATGCTTCCAGTGAGTATTGGCTTCATGGAGGGGAGATCCTGGGGTCATTGGTATTGGTCATTTATGGTGTTTACTGGGCTGGACTGATTAAAGGAAACGTCTGTTACCACACTAGAACAACCTTCAATATTCTGAAATATGACTTTGCCGGGTCAATAGAGGGACTTCAGTGCAGAGCTGAATCAGCCCACGCGGAGCAAGGAACAGATTTGCTTTAATGCTCCTCTTCCGCAGCAGCTTCAGTCAGCTGTTCAGAGCAAAGACTTTGATGGGGCCACCAATGTAAGGGGGCACTCTGATGTGTACTACTAATTATTAAGAGTTCCCTCTTACATTAATTCCCAACGTAGGGGGGCACTCTGATGGGGACAACCAATGTCAGGGGGCACACTGATGGGGGCAATCAATGTTAGGGAGCACATTGATGTGTACAGCTAAATATTAGTTGCCTTCATTGGAGTGCCCCCTACATTAGTTACCCCCTATCAGATTGCAATTACAATTTAATTATTAAGAGCTCCCTCTTATATTTAAATACGAACGTGAGGGGGGGGGGGGGCACTCTGATGAGGACAACCAATGTAAGGGGGCACTCTGATAGGGAAAACCAATGTAACCAATGTAGGGGGGCACTCTGATGAGGACAACCAATGTAAGGGGGCACTCTGATAGGGAAAACCAATGTAACCAATGTAGGGGGGCACTCTGATGAGGACAACCAATGTAAGGGGGCACTCTGATAGGGAAAACCAATGTAACCAATGTAGGGGGGCACTCTGATGAGGACAACCAATGTAAGGGGGCACTCTGATAGGGAAAACCAATGTAACCAATGTAGGGGGGCACTCTGATGAGGACAACCAATGTAAGGGGGCACTCTGATAGGGAAAACCAATGTAACCAATGTAGGGGGGCACTCTGATGAGGACAACCAATGTAAGGGGGCACTCTGATAGGGAAAACCAATGTAACCAATGTAGGGGGGCACTCTGATGAGGACAACCAATGTAAGGGGGCACTCTGATAGGGAAAACCAATGTAACCAATGTAGGGGGGCACTCTGATGAGGACAACCAATGTAAGGGGGCACTCTGATAGGGAAAACCAATGTAACCAATGTAGGGGGGCACTCTGATGAGGACAACCAATGTAAGGGGGCACTCTGATAGGGAAAACCAATGTAACCAATGTAGGGGGGCACTCTGATGAGGACAACCAATGTAAGGGGGCACTCTGATAGGGAAAACCAATGTAACCAATGTAGGGGGGCACTCTGATGAGGACAACCAATGTAAGGGGGCACTCTGATAGGGAAAACCAATGTAACCAATGTAGGGGGGCACTCTGATGAGGACAACCAATGTAAGGGGGCACTCTGATAGGGAAAACCAATGTAACCAATGTAGGGGGGCACTCTGATGAGGACAACCAATGTAAGGGGGCACTCTGATAGGGAAAACCAATGTAACCAATGTAGGGGGGCACTCTGATGAGGACAACCAATGTAAGGGGGCACTCTGATAGGGAAAACCAATGTAACCAATGTAGGGGGGCACTCTGATGAGGACAACCAATGTAAGGGGGCACTCTGATAGGGAAAACCAATGTAACCAATGTAGGGGGGCACTCTGATGAGGACAACCAATGTAAGGGGGCACTCTGATAGGGAAAACCAATGTAACCAATGTAGGGGGGCACTCTGATGAGGACAACCAATGTAAGGGGGCACTCTGATAGGGAAAACCAATGTAACCAATGTAGGGGGGCACTCTGATGAGGACAACCAATGTAAGGGGGCACTCTGATAGGGAAAACCAATGTAACCAATGTAGGGGGGCACTCTGATGAGGACAACCAATGTAAGGGGGCACTCTGATAGGGAAAACCAATGTAACCAATGTAGGGGGGCACTCTGATGAGGACAACCAATGTAAGGGGGCACTCTGATAGGGAAAACCAATGTAACCAATGTAGGGGGGCACTCTGATGAGGACAACCAATGTAAGGGGGCACTCTGATAGGGAAAACCAATGTAACCAATGTAGGGGGGCACTCTGATGAGGACAACCAATGTAAGGGGGCACTCTGATAGGGAAAACCAATGTAACCAATGTAGGGGGGCACTCTGATGAGGACAACCAATGTAAGGGGGCACTCTGATAGGGAAAACCAATGTAACCAATGTAGGGGGGCACTCTGATGAGGACAACCAATGTAAGGGGGCACTCTGATAGGGAAAACCAATGTAACCAATGTAGGGGGGCACTCTGATGAGGACAACCAATGTAAGGGGGCACTCTGATAGGGAAAACCAATGTAACCAATGTAGGGGGGCACTCTGATGAGGACAACCAATGTAAGGGGGCACTCTGATAGGGAAAACCAATGTAACCAATGTAGGGGGGCACTCTGATGAGGACAACCAATGTAAGGGGGCACTCTGATAGGGAAAACCAATGTAACCAATGTAGGGGGGCACTCTGATGAGGACAACCAATGTAAGGGGGCACTCTGATAGGGAAAACCAATGTAACCAATGTAGGGGGGCACTCTGATGAGGACAACCAATGTAAGGGGGCACTCTGATAGGGAAAACCAATGTAACCAATGTAGGGGGGCACTCTGATGAGGACAACCAATGTAAGGGGGCACTCTGATAGGGAAAACCAATGTAACCAATGTAGGGGGGCACTCTGATGAGGACAACCAATGTAAGGGGGCACTCTGATAGGGAAAACCAATGTAACCAATGTAGGGGGGCACTCTGATGAGGACAACCAATGTAAGGGGGCACTCTGATAGGGAAAACCAATGTAACCAATGTAGGGGGGCACTCTGATGGGGACACCTAATGTAAGGGGGCACTCTGATAGGGAAAACCAATGTAACCAATGTAGGGGGGCACTCTGAAGGGTACAGCTAATTATCAGTTGCCTTCATTGGATTGCCCTCTACACTAGTTGCCCCCTGTCAGATTTTCTATCAATTTACGTATATGCATGTGTGCATACCTACACATCTTCACAGTCAAAGTGTTGGCCCTCCACAACAGTCCCAGTTTCCCATGTGGCCCCTTGAGAAAATTAATTGGTTACCCCTAGAATAGAGGAGCATATGACTCCAGGTGCCAGTGCTGGTGCTTGGTCATTGGTCCAGCACTGTCACATGGGAGCAAAATACAGTCCTTAGCTCTGTGTAAGCTCCAACTAGCAGAACTTGGAGCTTACACAGGGCTATGCTTCTGCACTTCTAGCAGCTGAACAGAGCAGCAGTGAAGAAAATGTGCTGCTAGATGGGATGGGTGGGAGGGGAGCTATACAGTGAACCCGGTGCTTTGCCCTGCATAGTGAAAGCACCGGTTCACTTTAAGGTAGCACATATAAATCCATCTAAAGGACAAGAAGAAAGGACATTGGGGAATGGTAGGACCTGTACTGTGTCATTTCAGCAGTGAGAAATCCTCCATCCACATAATACTTTAACCCATTGCAGCTGCCTCACGGTGGCCCTTCAAGGGAAACTTAATACCAGGAGTTGGTGGCGGGCTTCCTGATCATGTGATCACTGTGATTGGCTGTCACAGAGATCACATGATTGGAGACTGTCCCACTGGCTCCCTATCGTGAACGGTGACCTGGAGCCTGTGGTGACAGTGCGGTCACTCTGCTAGGCCAGTGGGACAGCTGACGGTTGACACTGTATATACACACAGCTGGTGTGAAGAAAAAGAAGAACTAGGGCAAAATAATAATGTACCCTTGAAGTGGGGTTGCAAGAAGGGTTAAGTGCTTGATTTGGGTTAGGTTGTAGAATAAAAAACATATACTCACCCGATCCTCTGTCCTGCAGAGTTGACCGCTTACCTCTCTTCCTCTCCTCTCCGGCTGTGGTATGTCCCTCGGCCTCTTCACATCAAATAGACTGGAGTGACGTGATGATGTCACAGGTCATTAGACTGCCGGAGCTCGGGAAGAAGAGGCTGTGGGGATCGGTCTAGGGCCGGATGAATATATTTTTGTTATTTTTGCCCCTAGACCAAAACAAGCACCTAACCCTTGCAATGCAAGGGAAGCCCCACTGCAAGGGTTAATCTTTATTCTGCCCAGAGCTCTTCCTTAGGGCCCACGCTGACGAATGTGTATGTTACACCAGCCAGATGGCGTAGAATAGAGATTATTGTAGCCGTCTGCAATCAAAATGACCTTTAAGGCACTACAGAGCGCTGTGTGCGCACGTCAGTGTGGAGTGTGTTGTGTGTTAATGTGCATTGTGTCAATGAAGCACACAAATTGTTCTGGACCTTTTCAGATGTCAGCAGAAGCACTCATTGGCCGGAGGTGACCCGTGACTCTCTATGTGGACTGAAGGGCTCTTGAATTAATTTGAAGTGGCCTAGGCAACGGTGAATGAGACATTAAACTGAGTTTATTTGTGTTTCAGAAAGAGAGAAATGCTCTGCGGGATGATTCCACTCGGTGGAAGTTTCCCATTCCCTACATACTGGCGGATAATCTGGGTAATCTGTTTATTTATCTCCCTTTCTATCTACATCACTAATCTACAGCTAATCTTCTTATCTATCTATCTTATCTAAGAAATACTTAGATCCCTAAGGCAGAGTTCCCATACTGTAACAATTGTTATTAAAGTGTATCTAAACCCAAAATCAAAAATGTCCCATATTGTAGTTATGGAGGAGCAATGGAGCCACCTTTAGATAGCAGCATGATCACCCTGTGGGGTATAACTACAAATCATGGGGCCCCATAGCAAAACTTTGCCCCCCCCTGGCTAACTCTCTGTAGCGGCTGGCATTGTCAGCTGTGACAATATGTATAAAGATACAATGATCTATCACTGCTTCATCCAATGCCGAGCTTCCAACACCCGGGCTCATGTGGATGCAGGCTAGGAGCCGTCCACGCTTGAACAATGGGCTCCTAGGCTTGGAATCTCGGTATGCTGGCAGTACTCAGCCTTATGGATTAAAAGCTGGTTGTCGGTTGGACTTCGGTTTGTCAATCCTTACATGTTGTGGCTGCTTTTGTTCTTTTTTGGCCTTTTTTACTTTAGTCTAACCTGGTGATCTGGCCAGTAACACACTTCCTGTCTTAGAGTGACTCCACGTTATGGGGAAAGCAATGGAGCCACCTTTAGACAGCAGCATTATCACCCTATGGGGAATAACTACAAATCATGGGGCCCCATAGCAGACATCCCAACTCTACGGAACACTCCAGGAGTCTCCTGCTATTAGATAGTGGCTTCCGGCCGCCCGGGAGAGAAACACTTCCTTCCGGAAAGGTTTACTCAGCTCGATTGAGCAAAGTAAACCTTTCCCTGCGATCATTTTTTTTTTTCTGACATCAGTCAGAAAAAAAAAAAAAGCATAGGAATGCATAGCTAGATTCTTATTGGCTATTGCACTTTGCAATAGCCAATAACAAACTAGCTAATGCACCCGCCCACTGCTGCTGTCAATCAGCAGAGGAGGACCTGATTTTTTCTATCAGGTCCTCTTCTGGTGATTGAAAGCAGCAGAAGGCAGGTGCAATAGCTAGTTTGCTATTGGCTAAAAAAAAAACCTGCAGATAGCAAAGAAGCTATTGCTTCCTGTGCTATCTACATCGTTTCAGGGGGGTGCTCTCTCCCAGCCCCCCCTAACCCCACTCCGCAGATGGGGGGGGAGGGGAAGGCACCTCCCTGAAAAAAACCTGGGCTAAATTTACTAAAGACAAAAAGCACAGGCTGGGGCTTTACTACAAGAATTAAGAGGCCGCAGATGTCACCATGGTGTAAAATTGGACAGATTCAAATAGCAAGAGAGAGACCAGAAGCACAGGCTGGGGTTTTGCTACAAGAATTAAGATACTGCAGATGATACTGCAGTGTAAAATTGGCCAGCAGCAGTACAGTTTAAATCAGCGATAATAGACCTAACTGGTGTATGCCTAAATTTTATTGTATCCCTGAGTGGTAGTGCAGTGGATGTGAGTGATGTAATGTGAGGTGGTTTTAGGTGCACACTGTTCTTGCGCTTAGTTTTTTTTTTCTTTCTTTCAAACAAAGCAACAGTGTACAGTGAACAAAAGGCAGGTCCAAGAACAGATGCTCAGAAACAAGTAAATGCTCCTCCTGGAGCAAACTGAGATAAGAGGCCCAATCAACATAAGTTGAAAAAAAACACACAGAAGAAATAAGAAAAAGTACTCCCCTGAAACAAAAGCTCTTTTTGCTTTTAAAGGGAACCTTTGCACCTAAAAATGCAGCGCTGAGGTCCTTGGTTTGAGTCCTGGTCTGGACACTATCTGCAAGGAGTTTGCTTGGGTTTCCTCTGCCTGTCTTTTTTTGGACACAATTTCCAGATTTCATTGCTTCTTTAACCACTTCCCGGCCGGCCGTTGTAAAAAAACGGGCGGCCAGGAGCTCTCTAGATTTGAGCAGGCGTCTTTAGACGTCCGCTCAGCCACGCCCCCTCACGTGCGCGCGAAATAGCGACATTTGAAAACAGGCAGCGATGCCCGTTAACCCCTTCATGACTGAGGCCTTTTTTTCATTTTTTGTACCCATGCTTTATTCCACATTTTAGGCCTGAAAATTACTTAAAACCCCCCAACATTATATATTTTCTGAATGCCAAGACAAAAGTTGTAAAGGTCGGTACACGATCTCCCTCCGGTCCCCTCTCCGCTGTCAGAATGCGGAACTGATGTATGTATGTTACATCACTTCCACATCACTTTCTTAGCCCCCTATGTGATAGCAATAAAGTTAAGTGGAAAAAAAAAATTAGGAAAAAAACATTTTTAGTTTCCCCCCCAAAAATGTAAAGTTACAAATTAAAAAAGAATGATTTTTTTTCCCCCCCATACATACACGCATGCAAACAGGCGTCAGGTGCACATACGTGCGAAAACGACGATTTCTCCCATTACGCCGCACATGTTACATATCGCCGCCAACGTCGGAATAGTTCTAGGCCCATCAATCACTGATAACACTAAACTGATGAGCTGTAAAAGCTTTTACAGCGTCGTCTATGGTCAATTTTGGGTATGGTAGTTTTTTGCGGGTGCGCGCAATTTTGTTTGTGGACGGACGTCTGCTAGGAGCGGGAGGGCGTCTTGAGACGTCCTATTCAATAATGTTTCCTTAATATAGTAAAAAATAAAGCCCTGCAGTGGTGATTAAATACCACCAAAAGAAAGCTCTATCTGTCCCCAAAAAATGGTATAAAATTCATTTCAGTACAGCGCTGCATGACGGAATAAATGTCAATCAAAGTATCGCAGCGCTGAATACTGAAAAATAGCCTGGACAGGAAGGGGGTGTAAACACCTGGTCTTCAAGTGGTTAATGAACCGAGCCTCATGTGTGCTTTATTTTTAATTTCAGACCTAAATGCTAAGGGAGCTATTCTGAAGGCTTTTGAGATGTTTCGTTTGAAGTCCTGTGTAGATTTTAAACCCTATGAAGGAGAACCCACATTTCTTCATTTCCAGAAATTTGGAGGGTGAGTCACCAATCCAGCCATTCAATGTCTTTCAAAAAACCCATTTCCCTTATTCACTATACAATTCCCTCAGTAATGATGACCCTGCCGACATTATCTCTTGCCCCTCTTTTCCTCATTTATTCTCCAAGGCAGCCTTGCTCAACCTCTTCTCTCCGCGGGTACCCCCTGAAAAAAAGGTGTAGGTCTTGGGGAACCCCTGAAGTAGTTTCCTGGTGTAAACTCATGGTACTTTAGCATAATCAGTGAGCTGTGGATATAATAATAAATAAAAGAATAAAAAAATAAAATGTACACCTTTAATGTAAAACTTTGGCTTTCTTTGGTGTTTAGTGCAAAACTGATTTGGCATTGGTGTTCAGTGACAACACTAATCAGTGACAACCTGTGGTTTCACAAGGGGGGTGCGGCCCGCACCCGGGTGACACCATTGAAGGGGTGGCACCAAAATGACTGACAGTCATTTTGGTGTCACCCCCTCTGAAAAGTCGAGGCACCGGGAGAGAGGAGGGGACCTGGCGGCATACCTTATCCCGCCGGGTGACTGTCCCCTCTCTCTGCCGGTGTCCATCCCCAAGAAGGCCGCCAGCAGGTATCAATGAGATTGCCGTGCATGTGCGAAGACGTCATTGCACACCCCCGTGGTGACGTCACGCGCATGCGCGATGATGTCACGTCGGGGTGTCACCCGGTAACCACTCCGGGTGACACCCAGCCTTGGGACGCCCCTGGTGACAACACTAACTTTGTTGGTGTTAACTAATAGGTATGAGCATCAGATTCAGGTTGACCACGAGTTTGACCTGAACTCAAGTTATTTGCAGTTCAACAAATCTGCAAACTGTCTGGCCAGTTCACCGGCCTGCTGAATCTTCAACTGTGCCCTAGCGATCAATGACACCATGCTGCCCGCAAAGTATCATTGGTTGACAGGTGGCTTACCTGCACATCTTCACTGGTGCTAGAATGCAGAAGGGAGCTTCATAACAACCTATGACGCTTTGGGTCCACCAGCGTCTTAGCAACCAATGATGCTATTGTAAACAAAATGAGAATGGAAGATGGAACATGGACGGATCTTTCCTGCTGGCAGACAGGCTCCCTTATGCAGACAGCTGGCACCCACCTCTGTCAGAATACCTGATCAGTGACTGCAGCTCATTGGTTGCAATCACTGTTCGGCTGACAATTCTTCACCTGGCTCCTTTGTCAAAAGTCAACTGATTAGTTGACTTCTGTTTAGTCCGGTGATGCCAGCCGGGCCACCAATGGATCTTATTTCGATCGATTCGTCAGGAAATGTCCAAAAATCGATCTGTGTATAGCCAGCTTAAGGGGGATTTTGGAATTCCTGGAAACCCTTTGTTTAGGTAGGGGCGCTTTTTTAAAGGGCCATGCCAAGAATAGAATGTCCCTGCAGCTGATGCTTTTACTTACCATAGACATGAGCAGCTCCTCATCTCCCATGCTTATAAGGGTGACATCAGGTGCTCGGAAAGAAGGTGTCCCGTCAGGCTAATATCAATCTAAGCAGGCCTAAGAACCATGGCCTGCAGGGGGAACATTGAAGCTGCAACTGGGCTGATTTGCAATAGCAGCTAGCAGTAGAACCTCTAAGGACGTCTCCTGGTACCCTAATGAAGAAGCCCTCCTCCATGCCTGTCTGAGGCATTGTCACTCATGCATATGGTACTTCTCTCATGCTGCACCTTAACCTGGGTATACACAGTTAATGTTTGCATGCTTGCTGTGTACCCTGTTCCCCATATTCCAGACATGTCTAACTGAGTGTTTCACGACTGCTATATGGAGGTTGCCATTCCTGTTTTTGGGGCTGTCATCTTTATCCCTGCTTGACTACTACGTCACTGACCCAGATACAGCAAGAGTTTTTACAGCAATATGGCACTGGTTTCTCTTAGGTTGAGAGCGTTCACACACATTCTACTTCTTTGCAGAGCAACCCAGTAGCCTTAAATACCAGAGTGATCTTTAAATTAGATTGCAACTGTGTTTGCGTGGGTTTCCTCTATGTTTTCCAGTTTCCATCCACACTCCAAAGACACACTGGTAGGATAATTGGGTCCAGTCTAAAATTGTCCTAGTATGTGTGTGTGTATGTAAGCAATTGTAATAGGGACCTTAGAGTGTAAGCTTATTGAGGTCAGGGACTGATGTGAATGTGAAGGTGCCCATACACCTTGCGATTATCATACGATAATCGCGGGAAATCCCACGATCGTACAATAATCGTAAGGTGTATGGAAGGCGTGCAACCGTTTTTACTGTACGGCCGCACGTCTTTTGTCAAAGGAGCATGCTAGAAAAGCCGCCGAGAATCGTACAATTGTCGGCGGGTTAGTGGCGTGCTCGTTCGACAACTGCGGAGCGGGCCGGTGTGCGCACATGTTGCACTTCTGACGAATAAGCTCCACAGTGCGATCGGGGTTGGGTGAAATTAGGGTGCTTT